TAATAGACTTGTATACAGTGATTGTCTAATGTATGTGCTACAATGTGTGATTTGATCTAGTACGTGCTGTTGTATAATTTGTTTTATATTATGCTTGCTTGAATCTACAGTTCAATTTGTGTTATAAAAGAAATAAAATAGTTTACTTATATTTGTTTTAATTTCTTTCATATTTATTTTGTTTAAAAAAAACAGAATTCATACAAATGCAAAAATAACTTATTACCTGTCCTAATAAAAAAAACACTGGTCAATTAACAGTTGATTAAAAAATGTTTGTACAGTATAATCCTTTGTTTGCACAAGTTTTCCCTCTATTCCCACATGAAATATTAACTTTTCTTACCAGATTTATAAAAAGTGGGAATAGAGGGAATGAACCAAGTTGCCTACCCCCCAATCTCATTTTGTCAATTTCACAATTTCAGTTTTGTAACCGTAACTTCAGATTTTCAAACATAAACCACTTTGAAGATTTTCTTAAACGTTGCGCCATTGTCTCCTCTACAACACCTATATAATCGTTGTCCGTCACAATCTCTTGAAATTGGTCCAAAATTAACTTAAATTGCCCTACCTCTCCCTAATCCCATTTTGTCAATTTCACAATTTCAGTTTTTTAACCGTAACTTCAGATTTTCGAACATAAACCACTCTGGAGATTTTCTTAAACGATGCGCCAATGCCTCTTCTACAACACCTATATAGTCGTTGCCCGTCACAATCTCTTGAAATTGGTCCAAAATTAAATTAAATTGGCCTACCCCCCTAATCACATTTTGTCAATTTCACAATTTCTGTTTTTTAACCGTAACTTCAGATTTTCGAACTTAAACCACTCTGGAGATTTTCTTAAACGATGCGCCATTGTCTCCTCTACAACACCTATATAGTCGTTGCCGGTCACAATCTCTTCAAAATGGTCAAAATTTTTCCTTTAGTGCCCTACCCCCTAATCTCATTTTGTCAATTTCACAATAAAATTTAAAGTTTTTTAATAACCGTAACTTCAGATTTTCGAAGATAAACCACTCTGAAAATTTTCTTAAACGATGCGCCAATGTCTCCTCTTCAACACCTATATAGTCGTTGCCCGTCACAATCTCTTAAAATTGGTCCAAAATTAACTTTAATTGGCCTACCCCCTGATCTCATTTTGTCAATTTCACAATTTCATTTTTTTAACCGTAACTTCAGATTTTCGAACATAAACCACTCTGGAGATTTTCTTAAACAATGCGCCAATGTCTCCTCTACAACACATATATAGTCGTTGTCCGTCACAATCTCTTTAAAATGGTCCAAATTTTTCTTTTAGTGGCCTACCCTCCCAATCTCATTTTGTCAATTTCACAATAAAATTTTCAGTTTTTTAACCGTAACTTCAAATTTTCGAACATAAACCACTCTGGAGCTTTTCTTAAACGATGCGCCATTGTCTCCTCTACAACACCTATATAGTCGTTGTCCGTCACAATCTCTTGAAATTGGTCCAAAATTAACTTAAATTGCCCTACCTCTCCCTAATCTCATTTTGTCAATTTCACAATTTCAGTTTTTTAACCGTAACTTCAGATTTTCGAACATAAACCACTCTGGAGATCTTCTTAAACGATGCGCCATTGTCTCTTCTACAACACCTATATAGTCGTTGCCCGTCACAATCTCTTAAAATTGGTCCAAAATTAACTTTAATTGGCCTACCCCCTAATCTCATTTTGTCAATTTCACAATTTCAGTTTTTTAACCGTAACTTCAGATTTTCGAAAATAAACCACTCTGGAGATTTTCTTAAACAATGCGCCAATGTCTCCTCTACAACACATATATAGTCGTTGTCAGTCACAATCTCTTTAAAATGGTCCAAATTTTTCTTTTAGTGCCCTACCCTCCCAATCTCATTTTGTCAATTTCACAATAAAATTTTCAGTTTTTTAACCGTAACTTCAAACTTTCGAAAAAAAAACCACTCTGGTGATTTCCTGAAACGATGCGCCATTGTCTCCTCTACAACACCTATATAGTCGTTGTCCGTCACAATCTCTTGAAATTGGTCCAAAATTAACCTAAATTGCCCTACCTCTCCCTAATCTCATTTTGTCAATTTCACAATTTCAGTTTTTTAACCGTAACTTCAGATTTTCGAACATAAACCACTCTGGAGATCTTTTAAAACGATGCTCCATTGTCTCTTCTACAACACCTATATAGTCGTTGCCCGTCACAATCTCTTGAAATTGGTCCAAAATTAACTTTAATTGGCCTACCCCCTAATCTCATTTTGTCAATTTCACAATTTCAGTTTTTTAACCGTAACTTCAGATTTTCGAACATAAACCACTCTGGAGATTTTCTAAAACGATGCGGCAATGTCTCCTCTACAACACATATATAGTTGTTGCCCGTCACAATCTCTTGAAATTGGTCCAAAATTCACTTAAATTGGCCTACCCCCCAATCTCATTTTGTCAATTTCACAATTTCAGTTTTTTAACCCTAACTTCGGATTTTCGAACATGAACCACTTTGGAGATTTTCTTAAACAATGCGCCATTGTCTCCTCTACAACAACTTTATATTCGTTGCCCGTCAATATCTTTTGAAATTGGTCCAAAATTAACTTAAATTGGCCTACCCCCCAATCTCATTTTGTCAATTTCACAATTTCCGTTTTTTTTTACCGTAACTTCAGATTTTTGAATATAAACCACTCTGGAGATTTTCTTAAACGATGCGCCATTGTCTCCTTTACAATACCTTTTTAGTCGATGCCCGTCACAATCTCTTGAAATTGGTCCAAATTTTTGTTTTAGTGACTTACCCCCCTATTCTCGTTTTGTCAATTTCACAATAAAATTTTCAGTTTTTTAACCGTAACTTTAAATTCTCGGATATAAACCACTCTGGGGATTTTCTTGAACGATGCACCAATGTTTCCTCTATAAAACCTATATAGTCGTTGCCCGTCGCAATCTCTTGAAATTGGTCCAAAATTTTCTTTTAGTGCCCTACCCCCCTAATCTCATTTTGTCAATTTCACAATAAATTTTTCAGTATTTGAACCGTAACTTGAGATTTTCGAACATAAACCACTCTGGAGATTTTCTTAAACGATGCACCAATGTCTCTTCTACAACACCTTTATAGTCGTTGCTCGTCACAATCTCTTGAAATTGGTCCAAATTTTTCTTTTAGTGCCCTACCCCTCTAATCTCATTTTGTGAATTTCACTATTTCAGTTTTTTAACCGTAACTTCAGATTTTCGAACAAAAACCACTCTGGAGATTTTTCTAAACGATGCGCCAATGTCTCCTCTACAACACCTATATAGTCGTTGCCCGTCACAATCTCTTAAAATTGGTCCAAAATTAACTTTGAGTGCCCAACCCCCAAATCTCATTTTGTAAATTTCGGTTTTTTAACCCAAACATCAGATTTTCGAACATAAAGTGATCTGGATTTTTTTTCTACACGATGCGCCAATGTCTCCTCTACAACAAGTATATAGTCGTTGCCCGTCACAATCTCTATAAATTGGTTCAACATTAACTTTTAATGCCTACCCCCCTAATCTCATTTTGTCAATTTCAGTTTTTTTACCGTAACTTCAGATTTTCGAAAATAAACCTCTCTGGAGATTTTCCTAAACGATGCGGAAATGTCTCCTCTAAACACATCTATAGTCGTTGCCTGTAACAATCTATTCAAATTGGTCAAAAAATAGCTTAAAATGTCCTATACCCTAATTTCATTTTGTTAATTTCAGTTTTTTTCTACCACAATTCAAGATTTTCGAACATAAACTACTCTGGAGATTTTCCTAAACGATGCGGCACTATCTCCTCTTAAACACCTATATAGTTGTAACCTGTCACAATCTCTATTAATCGGACCAAACAACGTAAAGCGCACCCCCATTCCCTAAAAATGCATTGTGTCAATGTGTTAACTTATGGTCATTGTAATCCAGCTGTCTATTGAATGCCTTTTGTGGATTTATTTAGCTAGGAAAGAAAAGCTTTGTATTCTTTATATATGAAGTATGGTTTCCCTTTTGTTTTAAGTTAGTTTTTTCGTATTTGTTTAAGATTGTATGTATTCTCATAATTGTTCGCTAGCTCGAAAAAACGTGATAACCTTATGTGATATTGTGGTTTTTAGTTATATCTCCTAATTGTTCGCTAGCTAATTGTTCGCTACAATTGTTCGCTAGCTTGAGTCAGGTCCAAAAACTGGGGGTGATCTCAGGTGCTCCGGAAGGGTAAGCAGATCCTGCTCCACATGTGGCACCCGTCGTGTTGCTTATGTTATTACAAATCCGGTAAATAGTCTAATTCGGTAGGTCACATTCGTGAAATAGGAAGGGTATTGTAGTTACGACATAAGGAACATATCCGATATCATCTGATAGACGTTACAGGTAGTAATAAAAAGAAGTACGAAGAGTGTCAATAAGATACCTGGGACAAAATGTCATTAAATAAAACAACGCGCACAGGTTATTTTAAATATAATAATTTTGAGACGGAAGTAATTTTTTTTTTACAAAATTGATAAATTTGTTTTCAGAGTACCAGTATAGAAGAGAAAATTTATCGTCATACTAAATACTTGATAAAGGTACATATTAAAAGTAGAGAATTAACACGAAATAAGCAAACATTGAACTTCAAAAATGCATTACAAATTTTGTCAACAGGTCAACTGAACACGAAAGTACGAGTTTATTTTTGTCAACAACAAAAAGAATTTAACGATGTATTAGCCTCTGGATTTTGGTATATAAGGTAGTTCCTATTAACGAGTATCATTTAATCAAAATTTAAAAGCTTAGGTAATTATTAATGATGCAGGTCGCTTAACTATTCCAGAGAGTCATAAATTACATCATTATAGTCACAGATTGATCTTGTCATAGTTTATGAATAGCGACTAGACAAAAACATATGGAATAAGCTTGAAAGTGTTATGCAAAAGCTTTTCATGAGGCTTACTCGTACTAACCTTTAATGTCCCTATGGACAATTCCTAATGAATGAAGAAATACTAGTCCTTTTAATACTTGCTTCGTTATATACTTCACATACATTTCTTGCATAGGTCCACCTCGTTCAATTGCACTCTTAATGGATCCCTGTTTGATGTAAAAAAAGTAAAATCACAAAATACTGAACTCCGAGGAATATTTAAAACGAAGAGTCCCTAATCAAATTGCAAAAAATCAAAAGCTAAAACACATCAGACGTCATATTTCTGACTTGGTACAGACATTTTCTTATGTAGAAAATGGTGAATTTAACCTGGTTTTATAGCTTGCTTAACCTCTCAATTGTATGATAGTCGCATAAAATTCCCTTATATTGACAATGATGTGTGAACAAAACAAACCGACATAATAAAAATGTCAAAAATAATGGTACAGCAGTCAACATTGTGTTATTATCTTAATCACTATAAAACAAACAAATATATAAACAAACATTTACCATGGCACAATTGTCACAGGGTGGCCTTATTTACTCGTATAGATATATAGTTATAATATATAAATTTAGAATTTAGATATCTTCTTTTTGGTAGTGAGCCTGTGTTCATACTACCATTCTATATTTCTTTCTTGTTCAAATTTCTTGGTACTCAACAATACTAGTCAGCCCTGTAAACTCCAACCAAAAATGTCTCCAATGCAACAAGAATGCATACGCTGAAATGTTTTGCCTGCTTAACTATTCATGACTTTTTTATACGCCCGTCAAAATTTTGACGGGACGTATTATGGTTTACAAATGTCCGGCGTCCGTCTGTCCGTCTGTCCGTCGTAAACATGTCGCACCGTAACTTGAGAACAACTTATCCAAATTTCATGAAACTTAACATAGTTGTTTCTTATGATGGTCAAACGATCTGTATACTTTTTGGTGAAAATAAGACTAAAATTTTTTGAGTTACGGGACTTTGAAACTAAAATAGGGGTGTGTTTTTTTCACATGTCGCGCCGTATCTCAAAAACGATTTATGATTATTGCTTAAAACTTTACACACTTCTTAGTTGTATTAATCGAAAGATCTGTATACTTTTTGGTGATGATTCAAAACATTTCATTTTAGAGTTATTGAGTTTTTTTGTAAAAAAAGGGGAAAGGGGGGGGGGGGGGGGGGATTGGTTCACATGTCGCGCCGTATCTCAGAAACTATTTATGACTATTGCATAAAACTTCACACACTTGTTCGTTATATTAATCTGAAGATCTGTATACTTTTTCGTGATGATTCTTTATTTTATTTTTGAGTTATTGAATTTTTATTGAGCTTTTTGGTAAAAAAAACATATAAAACATGTTGTGAGCAATTTTTGTTCTGTCTCTTATATAAACTACCTATTGAGCAGGAATAAGGAATGAGTCAGGATATACTTAGCATGACTTCTTGTATAACCCCCGTGTTATTCCAAAAACATTAATTATGTTTTTTTTCACAAGACGACGGGCGTATCATGCGCTCGTGGCGCAGCTGTTTATTATTGTTGGTAGTCCTAAGGATAAAGTTTTAGTACAAGTGTCACATAAACTTGACATTATCATGATCCAAGAAAATGAGGTCAAGGTCAGATAAACCAAGCAAGAAAGACATGTATACCTGACAATCATTACATTCACCTTATATAGTTTTGCTATTGCTTATTTTATACAAAAACAGACAAAACCATGAAAATTTATTATTGACCGATGAACCATGAAATAAACAGTTGACACAGAGATATGTCTCGCCTATCAGCATAAAATTAAGAAAAAGACAATCTAATGGACAGCAACATTGCTTATTAATTCAGTCACTGGACAATGATCTAGTGGGCAGGGCCTGAAAATGGTCCACAAACTGAGATGTACAGACAGTCATGTGACTTTATAGAAAATATCGTTGTTAATTGTAAGTAGTTCCTATCAATATAACTTAAACAGAAAAACTTAACATTGAAAATTGCTAATAAATTCAAAGTCACTGGACCATGACAAATGGGGCAAGGCCTCAAAAAAGCCGTCAAACTGATATGTACTGATCGTAATGTAACTTCATACAAAACATTATTGATCTATCACAAGTAGATCATATTAAACTAACTTAAGCAGAAAACTTAACATTGAAAATTGTTAATTAATTCAAAGTCACTGATCCATGTCCTAGGGGGCAGGGCCTCAAAATAGTCGTCAAACTGATATGTACTGATAGTGATGCATTTTTTTTTATAAAATATCAATGATCTATTACAAGTAGTTTCCATCAAACTAACTTAAGTGGAAAACTTCACAATTGTTGATGCCGGAGCCGTCACCACTGTCGTCTCCACCAGAAAAGCAATCCCTATATTTATGTCTCACTTTCCGTGACTTTCGTCGCAGGCGGAACAAAAATGAGGTCAAAGTCAGATGAACCCTGCCAGACAGACATGTACACCTTAAAATCATTTCATACACCAGCTATACTCGACCTATTGCTTATAGTATTAGAAGAAAAAATGGGGATGTGTCCATAAATAAACTCGGTGTGAGCTAAGGCTCCGTGTTGAAGACCGTACTTTGACCTATAATGGTTTACTTTTATAAAGTTTAATTTGGATAGAGAGTTGTCTCATTGGCACTCATACCACATCTTCTTATATCTAACATAATAGATACCAGCATTGAAATTTTGTATTTGCACCAGACGCCATTGGACACAGATGATGCCCCCGCTTGCACATTACAATATAAAGGGACATAACTCAAGAACGGTAAAAGTGACGCTACCCAAATTTAAACTTGATCTGTGTGTTGTGGTAATAAGCATTGTGCATAATTTTCATAACATTTGGTTGAGGTAAACTAAAGTTACTTAGAGAACGGAAACAAATTTCTGGACGTACGGACGTACAGACAGAAATGGGTAAAACTTAATGCGCCCCCATAGGCATAAAAACCAGACCAAAACAATAAACTTAACATTGACCAATGAACTGTGCAAATCAGGTCAAGGTTAGATGAAACCTGCCAGACGGACATGTACACCTAACAATCATTCCATACACCAAATATAGTTGTGTTACTGCTAAAAGTATCGGAGAAATGAACCTTAAATCATGTAACTTTAACCTTTTCTTGATCCGTGCCATGAAGCTGAGGTTAGGTCCTATTACTAATAGGTAAGTGAGAAATTCATATAACAAAAAAAAAAAAAAACTTATTTTCAAGCAGTAGCTTAACCATGAAAATGAGATCAAGGACAACAGACATATGACAGACCTTCGTAAGATTAGGTATCTGTACACAAGGAGTGAAGGAGGGTCGTCATGGGGGTACCTTCCTGACGAATAACGGTAAATATTCTTGCCAAAATGAAGTTAACGATAATTTGTGATGCATGACGATAAAATGTTCACTTTCTTTTAGATGATAAAAAATCGACTGATTTTGACGAATCACGTTAAATTTTTTCAAAAAATAACGGTAACGGTAATTATTTGAGACCTCTGACGTATCACGGAAAAATTTTAATCAATTTGACGGTAACGGTAGCCGAAAATTACCGTTTGACGCCTGACGGTAAAGGGCATTCCTACCCTCTCATGAAGCCTCAGGGTCAATTACAATCTAAAATATAAAGCTCAATACAAATAGTTTACGTCGCAGGATTGTTATCCATATGTTTTGCATGTCACAGGAGAGAACGTAAACAAAGAAGGCATGCAAATGTGTCACAGGTGTAGAATTTCATGTACATCGATGACTCACATGCTGAATGATAGTGGTATTATTGTTTATAAATTTTGAAACAAACAAAATACCTATATAAAAGTCTTACTTGCAAAAGACAGAAATGAAAGATGTTAATTCTTTTATGAAAGTTATTTGTTAATCTACTTATAATTTAATCTTCTAAAAATACTTTACTCCAATATTCAAGTGCCTGTACCAAGCTAGGAACCTTCCCATTGGTTGTCTCATGTCAAAACTTTGTATTGATATACATGTAGGTTTTATTTATCTTATTGACAACTTTCATAGACTCCGGACAATTGAGAGCATGCTACATGTATAGTGTATGAACTGTATGATGCCCTTTAGATGCTTGTTTGGTGTTTTTCATTGATGGGTTGCTGTCAGATTCATAGGCGTTTTTGGTGGCAGGGACCATCCCCCCTTTATGGACCTACATAAATGGTTAATGCATAGACTTTCTACATGTCCCACACCATGCATTGAATGACCTCAAAGTTTGTAAAAATTCTTGTTATTTCTGTTTTGAACTTTTCTATTTCATTTTTAATCAAAATTCCCATTCTAAGTCTTCATCTGTAATGTTCATACAATAATTTTAATATGAATTGTATAATATTCTGAAAGAGCTTGTGGTTGAACAAATATAGATTCATGTCAAGTTAATTCCAGGTTCTTTTGATCTCTTGAATACACAGTGTCACCTCAGAGTGTCACCACTGTATGCCTGTTACATTGCAGCACGTTTAAAATTTTATCCTGCATATAGTTGCTATTGGTAACTATGGATTCCTTCATACATTTACATGTTATATCCTTGTAAGATGTTGATTCAATGATGAAATCCTGTTATGCCTAAACCGCATCAGACTCTTCGAATACTTCACACAGATGTTGTAATCTAAAAATAAAATTCAGGGCATAATTTTTGTAAAATTACCATCAAATACTACCTTTCCAATCAGGGTTCTCACTGAGGAGTTTTTAAAGGTGAGTGCACAGACTTCCCATTTTTGGCCTGAGATTAAGAAATTTTATTGCTTCATAATTTATCATGATAAAATAGAACAAGGAAATTATTCTAAAAGGTTTATACCAATTTAGCACTTGAATTACATCTTTGAATTTTTTTTTTATTGGTATAAACATTGATTTTGTTATCAGTAAATTAAACCCATACTTAATATAAGTGTTATACACATATATATATATATATATTTTTAGTTCTGTATTTTACTGATAAATGGACTCATTTTTTAAGTCAACATTACACTTTTACACCGACAGCATTAATCGCAGGCAAGACACAGGGTTCCGCGGAACCCCTTACTAATTTTTCAAACTAGATATCCCAATGATGAATTATTGTTGCCAAGTTTGGTAA